TTTTATAAATATCAGAGTCCAGAAATTAGGTTGGAAAGTTAATCATTCAGCAACATCATTCTCACTCATTTGCAATTCAGTATGCTCTTCTGAGGGAATGAAAAGAAGGTTTTCACAGTTAACATGCTGGAAACCACATATGACCCTGGCTATGAGCTTAAGAGTACACCACTGTAGGAGACATCACTCAAATTACCATATCCTATGCCTGGAGATATCTGCATATCTTACCACCAGGGCGCTAGGTACACACTTGCACTGCCCTGTAGTTTGCAAATTATATAAATCTACACATCACCAATCCAGAGTTTTCTGCTGGAATACTAGAGTCAAATTTCTGAGTAATTTCTAAATATACATTAGGAACTTGCAGTTTGCATTTGTATATAACACCACTCTGGGCTTTATTTAATCTATCTTACTCTCTCCTTCCCCACAGTCCGTGTTCTTTCCCAATTATTTTGTTGCATCTTGTATGCATTTATATAAGCTATGTAAAATCCTTGTTGGAAAATAGGGTGAAAATAAACATTACAAATTGTTTGGGTGTTATACTTTTTATTGTCTTTTATGCACAGCCATACTTTTGTTTTTAACCTTGAGGCGAGCTTTCCTTCAGAGAATGTTTATCTTATTATTTCTCCTAGGATGCTGTGCTGCATGATTATATGTTGAATTAAGCTAATGTATTATCTTCTCAAAGTTCTAGGAAAAGAAAGGATATACACAATAAAACAAGTGACAATGCTATATACTAATTTTAAAACAGTTACCAATTTTCATATTGACACAAATCACAGAATTTGGGAGAAGTACCCTTGTCTTTACCTATAGACTGACTGACTGAACGAATAAGCAATCGACAAGGATTTACAAACTCTTCTGATAGGGTTAAAAGTATTAACTTGTGAGTAACCACAGCTTTCTACCCAACCCAGTTGAGGGTTCAGAATTGCTACTTAAGCCAAAGGTGAGGAGAAGAATGGAGAGGAGCTGAGGAAGACAACAGGACTCGTTGTTGTGCAGCTCTCTCTGACCATGATGACGAGGCTGGAGGGTGAAGGTGAGGGGTGGGGGCCAGCCTGGGGAAGCAGCTGGGGACCCAGCAGGACATTGAGGACAGATATGTCCTAGGAAAAGTTTCAAAAATGTGCTGTTATTATTGTTATATTTTGTTTTTAAAACAATCTTCTATTTGCTATCTCTTCACGAACTTTATTAAAGGCTTACTTTCATTCAAGAGTTTTGATGTCAGAATTCATGCATTTTTTTTAAAGTGTCATGAAACCAGCTTAATTTTCGATCATTTTTGGAAGGAGTTTTAGAGACCTCTATTGCAAAGGATTTTTGCGCTTCTCTGAGAGACCATTCTTTCTTATTTTATTTTATTTTACTACTTTTTATCATAGCAGTACACACACACACACACACACACACACACACACACACACACACACACAATTTGCCATTGCAGGTATTTTAATGTACAAATTAGTGGTATTAATTACATTTATGTTGTTTACAATCGTCACCATAAACTAGTACTAAAATATCTTATTACTCTAAACAAAAGCTTTGTACCTAATTAAGCAATAGCATCCAGTTTTGTCTTCCTTACAGCCCCTAAATATAATCTACTTTCTATCTATATGACTGTTATTGCAGGTGTCTCATATGAGTGGACTCATACAATATGTGTCCTTTTGTGTCTGACTTCTTTCGTTTAGCAAAATGTCCAAGATTTATCTATGTTGTAGTAAGTATCAATACTTCCTTTTAATGGCTAAATAATTGTTCATTGTACATGTATACCACATTTTGTTTATTTATTCTTCTGCTAATAGACTCGGGTTGTTTCTGCCTTTCGGATATTGCAAATAATTTTTTATAAATATTAGTGTACAAATATATGTCTGAGTCTGTGTTCTCAGCTCTGTTGGATATATACCTAGGAGTGGAATTGCAGAGTCAAATGGTGATTCTATGTTTAATTTTTTGAGGAATTGCCAAACTACCCACAGCAAAGGTACCATTTTACATTCCTGCCAGTCCCAGACAGCTGTGGGTTTTTCAATTACTGTGCAATGTTTTCAAGCAATACCCACCGCTTTTCCACCCTGAATGATTTCCAGGTTAGGGTGTAATAGAGATGAATGCCTTGTTCAGGCAACCCCAGAAAGGTTAAAACAGATAAGCACAATCATTTGTGACTCTTATCTTCTCTATCATCTCTAGAAACAAAGACTAGAGTCCCTCCCTGGGAATGCAGGTGACCATCTTCAAGACTGTCCACCAAACTGGAGTTGCGGGACAATGGGAAGTAAAAATACCACACAGCTTTCATATAATTTTTATCTGATTTTATGTTGATTCAGCATTCTTTTGGTTGCTTCAAACCTTTGATTACTTCCCAGAGTTCTGACAAATTTGCTTCTGGCAGTCTATGTTTGTTTTTGCAATTATTTTGCTGATATCACTCCAATGGAGTCTTCTTGACTGTCCTGCTCTGAGAATCTGACTTACTCTCAATTCAGATGTCCTCCACACAACACGACCAAAACACAACTCATGGTACTTTTACCTAACCCGTTCTCTTCTTTTCTGAGCCCCCTATCTGGGGATGGTTAGATCGTTTTCTCAGTTACTCAAGCCAAGAAGCTTATCTTTTTTCACTTCTTTGGTAGAGTGGTAGTTGATCATCAAGTCCTTTGAAAGCAATGCAACCTTCTAAGAATTATCTGATCATTCCACTTATCACTAAGCTTACTGTTTCTACATTAGTCCAGGCTTCTGTCATGGTTCACTGTGATTATTGTAATGCCTTCTACATGAACAGTTCTTTGCATCTCGTTTTCCTCCTCACCACTTCCTATATGCTTCTGCCCAAAGCACCCCAGTAACTAGAACACATGTTCATTTTCTGTCTCCTGGTCTTAGAGTCATAAGCTGCTTTGGGACAAGGATTGTGTACATTCAGTACTATGGTAGTATCCAGCACATAGCAAGAGCTGAACAAATGATTCTTGAATGTCTAAAACATACTCACAGTAATACCCTCAGGGTGATATAACATAGTGCGGTACACATAGTGAGAAACCAGCAAAATGCCTATATATATAAGCATCAAGATATATATGTATGCATATCTATGTGCATATCTATCTGGTTAGAAACCTTAAAAACCGAATTCCCTTTCTTGCTTTTGTATCTCTGATTTTGAAAACCCTCCCTATATTTCAAGGTCTATTTCATTTTTTACTTTCTCCAGTTTGTAACCATGAAATACATACTTGCCAATTCACCACTAAGTTATACACTAATTGGAAGGTGCCCATATCAGTCATAATACATTTCTCACCAAAAAAGAGAGGAATCTGCAGATGTTAGGAGAAATACTCACTGTTAACAGAAACTATAAACAGAGTGCAGCTCCATTGACCCCACCCCACCAGTCATTCATTACTGACATACTTAATAACGTGCTGCCTTATGGTGGTTATCATTAGATAGTGTGCCTGTGATTTTTGTCACTCCATTGTATTTGCATTTCCCTGAAGATAGCAGGCTTCATTCAACTAGTTTTGTATTAATCAAGGACTCATAGTTCAAGTAGACATACAATACATAGTTCCCACTATGAGTGTTCATGCTTTGTGCAATCATGCTATGGTCTATAATTGACTCAGATTTTGGAATAAGCTATGCTATGCTATGCTAGAACTTAATTTTATTTTATACAACTAATACTTCTTTTTTCTTTTCTTTTCTTTTTTTTTTTTGAGTTGTAGTTTCATTCTGTCACCAAGGCCGGAGTGCAGTGGCACACTCATGGCCACCACAGCCTCAATCTGCTGGGCTCAGGTGATCCTTCCACCTCAGCCTTCCAAGTAGTTGGAACTACAGGCACATGTCACCATACCCAGCTAGTTTTTTTATTTATTGTAGAGATGAGGTCTTGCCAAGTTGCCCTGGCTGGTCTCAAGCCTGTGAGCTCAGACAATCCTCTCATCTCGACCTCGCAAAGTGCTGGGATTATAAGCGTGAGCCACTGTGCCTGACCAATTTCAATACAGTGTTCTTATGCCTGGAAAAATCATAGCCTAAATGATACTTCTATCATTTAGAAGGGAACACTGTACCTTTCTCTCTCTGAGGAATCTTGCTGGGTCTGGAGAGTTTTTCCCATTTCACGGTGATTTCTCTTTATGCTCTGGAAACTGACTCTCAATTTGGCTCATCCAGGTGGGGACCACACTCCACCCGTACAGAGGTTCTAGAGTCATATTCAAGTTAGCATCCAGAGCCATACAATGGACATTTGTGAGCCTGCTCTTTGAAAATAAAGCAAGCAAGTTTGATGGGAAAAGTGACCCATCTTGCACTCCACCCCACACTGCTTAGTAAACAAGGAGACTCAATGCACTTAGGTATTGTATAGATACCACTAGCCAGTAAGGACCTCTTTGCCAAGGAATAGAAATGATTCCCTTTTACTCTATGATATCTATTATATTATATTATCATACATCACCCAAAGGTAGTTAGTAGTTTCCAATTTTACAAATATTTAGAGAATACAGTTCAGGTAGCTGAATGTAACTTTGGCCATTGAATGTAAAGTGGAAATTAGTCAAGGGGAGGGACTGCATGAGGTTTTTTGTGTTATGAAAGATGACACTAGAGCTTAAGAGGAAGGTTTGCAAACTCATAGGTGTCTCGCTCACCCAGCCATCACCATCCCTTCAGCCTGGATGCAGTTGTCCCAGCCTGTTTACAGGCATCCAGAATTCCCCAGGCCACCAGCATCTACAAAGTTCAGTTTTCAAGCTGCGAGGTTGCTATGCAATAGAACAGTTTGTCTGGCAGGAAATAAAAGTTTAATTCTGGAATCTGGGAAAAGTTCTTATCTTTTCAGGACAGGCTTATCCAAGTTTAGTCACTGCAACAAGCAAAGAAAAGAAAGTAATAATTAAAGAGGTACGTACTTCATAGTATGTATTTTAGTTTTCTTCAGTACTCTCTGCAAAAAGTGCATTAATGTTCTCTGCTGCTTCAAAGACACTCGATGATCCATGGACAACATTTTTCAACGCACTTATTCCAAATTGGGCTCGGATGGAGTTTGGGGACAGTAGTTTTGCTTCTTCTGGGTCTGTTGGGCCCATCAATCGTCTCCATTCTGTAATAGCATTCCATTTGGTCAGAATCATGACCATAGATGGACCTCTGCAAAGAATGATGTTTTCAGAAGAGACAGGCTACTGACCATGCAGACATTACAATCACAGCTAAAGACAGAACACTACACCTTAAGTCCAGGAGTTACTCTTTATTCTTTGTCCTTATCCATGCAATTGCTTGCTATGTTTTTTTCATTCCTCCCTCTTCTAACTGGTTTTGGGGCTAGGTGAGTGCTTAGTTTGATTCTAGGAAATATTTGTCAATGGAGGTTTGTTTTTGTTTTTGTTTTTTAACCACTTCAGGGTCCATAAACAGAGACATTGTCATGGACCCAGGACTTCTTGCATAAATTCATGATTGTCTTTCAGCTTCTTACTTCTTCAAGGATTGCCTCTTTGCTCAGGCTACCCTGGGTACAAAGACCTGATCATCTCCAGTGACTGACTGATGTGAGGGTACAAAGGCCTGGTCATCTTAGCCAATATCTGACAACTCCGATGGACCAACCTAGCTATGGTCTTCAGAGGCTGTTGTCTGGCCTGCACTGCATCTTTACTTCCCTCTCTTCCTCATCCCTCTCTTTCAAGTGGCATCTTTACTCAACAGCCTGAACACTAAACTCTGCTTCTCAGGAATTCAACCTGCAACACGTATGAAAGTCTATTTGCTTTCCAAGCTGTCATGGTGCAGTAACTCAAAGACCCTATACTTCTGATTATTATTTGTATCTAATTACTACTTATATTCTATTCAATTTTATGTTTGAATGCTACAAATTTTGCCTTTCTAGACTCTTGACAAATGGTCAGGAACTGAAAAGGGAGGATATACATTTAAAGAGGCTTCTTAGGCCAGATAGGTAGCTCACATCCCAAATCTCTACCCTTTGGGATGCTGAGCCAGGAGGATCACAAGAGACCAGGTGTTCAAAACTAGCCTGGACAACATAGTGAGACCCTGACTCTATAAGAAGTTTAAAAAAAAATTAGCCAGGTGTGGTAGCACATGCCTCTGTACAACATGTTATTATACTGAACACTGTAGGCAACAGTAACATAATGGTAACTATTTGTGCATCTAAACATATCTAAACAGAAACAATGATGTGTTGGGTAACAACGTTACAAACAGTTATGATGCCATTAACACATAGGAATTTTTCAGTTCATTATAATCTTAATGGAACACCATTTAACATGCAATGTGGTCCATTATTGACTGAAATCATGTTATGTGATACATGATTGCATATATCAAAAATTTTAATGTGTAAAATAGCAAAAAAAACCACGTTTAACTCAAAGTAAATTGATGAGTGTTCAAATAATTATGAATGTTGTGCAAAAAAGAGTTCTGGGAAGACGTTAAAGGCACACATTCCCTGGGCTCAGGGTCCCCTCAAACACTAACTCTGTTCCCTCATAACAAAAGTGGAAATTCTAGTAAAAACTACTTCATAGAGTTGTTTTTATAACAGTCAAGTGAGATAAGGTATATATAGTTAATTACAAGACTGAGAATTAAGTAAACACTCTATAAATGTTAGCCTTTAATTCCTACTCAGTGATGATAAAGCTATTTGTTGTCAGGGACAGATCCACAATATAGAAGAAAGAAGTTCCAAAGCAGTATATTTAGTATCATAATATTCATGTTATTATGATTAGCATATTATTCATATGTATATACAATAACATGAATATTATGATGCTAAATATACTACTTTATATATAAAAAGTTTGACAAGGAATTCACACATTCAAAAAATGTGAATAATCACAGCTAATATTTACCAAGTGTTTAACATACACTGTGCACTCTCTCAAGTACTTTCAAAGTTTCAAGTACTTAGCTCTCACAAGAAACCTATAAGGTAGATGCTATTATAATCCCCATTATACAGATAAGAAAACTCAGTCACAGATTAAGTATGTTGACAAAACAGATATTTAAACCCAGACAGCCTCTACATCAAATATGAAGACCTAAAGAAATGAAGGAAGGAAGGAAAGAAGGAAGGGAGAGAGGAAGGGAAGGAAGAAGGTAGGTAAGGAGGAAGGGAGGACAAAAAGAGGGAGACAGAGAGGAAGATAGGAAGAGAAGGAAGAAAACAGAAGAAAAATATGAGCCCTGAATGTTGTGTCTTTTCATGAGTGAGATTAAATTGAATGTTTTAATTAATTTCTGTATTTTTCAAAAGTTTCTATAATGAAAATGTACAATTTTATAATGCAAAGAACTATACAACAGAAACTTACTCAGATAACATTTCTAATACATCATTATAAAAGTCTTTTCCTGTTATTTTTGGATAAATTTTGTCTGCCAGTTCATGAGTTAGAGTCACTGTCTTTGCTTGTGTCACATCAAATCCAGCCTCCTTAATAAGCTTGAGGATCTCCTCTAGGGAAAAAAGATATTTGACAATCTTCAGATTGTTCCACTTTTTCTCCATATTCAACTAGATTGAAATAACTATGAAAAGTAATAATTTTACTTCCATACTGTTATTTGAAAAAGCTAAAACTCTGCTAAACTAAAATTTCAAAAGCACCAAATTGACATTGAGAAGAACTTTAGAATGTTAATGTAGATTTTAAATTTATGAGCTCCACCTTTCCAAAAACCACCTGAAATACCTGGAGGACCATAAGAAGGGGAGGAGAAAGGGCATGCTCTCATGCTAAGAATGAAGACATATTTTCGCCTCTGTGCTACACATGCCAAGGAAATTCTTGCTTAAATACAGATTTAAGGGGAGCCAATCTGGACTCTTCTCCCTGGAGAACCAGAGTACTATTGAGGAAATTAAACGAAGTAAACCTTGTCAAAATCTCAGCAATGACATACATTTTGAAGGCTACATTCTGGAGGTGAAAGTGAACCAACTGAGAACTTTCTGGTTAAAATAGCCTTTTCTTTGCTTCATATCAAAAGTACTTAGTTTGCCAGGCTTGGAGCTAAAGGCAAATCTGTTTATAAGCAACAGAAAACCTGAAGAAGGCTGGACTTCTGCAAGAAGGGAGGTAGCCAGTATCAGCTCTAAGACAGGCACTATGGAAACAAATAGGAACAGAACATAAACACTTCCTCAGCTATAACTGTCTCATCAGAAGACCAGGCTTGTAAAGGCATCATGAGAAGGTTACCATTATTTTAAAGCATAATGTATAAGTTCCTTAGAAGCACAGGCAAGAAAACAATTAACTTTCTCTAGGGAGCTTAGGAATAACTTCTCAGAGATGTTGACTTGTATGTTAAGCATGAAAAAAATAAAGTGGGTTCACCAAGTAGACAAATAGGGAAAGGATAGTCCAATCAGAGTTCAGAGGGGAGAAAGAAAGCAACTCATTGAAAGCCTGTTGGAGATAAAGTTGGCCAAGTAAACAGAAGAAGGATTATAAAGAACTACATCTTGTGAAGCAATTTGAACTTTCCCCTAAGGGCAACAAGGAACATTTAAACATTCTAAGCAGAAACATATGTCATTTGTACTCTAGGAAGGTGATTTCTTTTGCACTGTGAAAGATGAATTAGGGTGGGTGTGGGTGGATGTGGCATTGGGAATAAGGTAATGTGAAGAGTAATGGAGTTTTTGGAAGAACTACTTCTCAGGAAAAGGAGGCACTTTGGATAAGTTCCTTGCAGTACTCAAGTAAAAAAAAAAGCAAGTGGCTAAGGTTAAAGCACAATATAAAAAGAGAGCATTGAAATAAAAGAGTCAGATTCATCCCCTCCAAAAGCCCTACTTGTTACAGAAACTACTTCATTATACAAAACCAAGAGAACATTCTGATCTGACAAACTAAATGAGCTAATCCAAACTCTCATTGAGTTTTACAAAACTACTATAAGAGTAAATTGAAATTATTTTGTTGATTAAAATATTTTTCTTCTCCTGTCAAAGAAAGAAATTAGAGAGGGTAGGAGGGAGGGAGAAAGAAATTCAGTCAGCAGAAGGGTGACAAGTCCAGAGAAAAACTGTAACACAATACTCTAGCATGATTTAAGCAGTTTGAACACTTTGAAAAATTAGGAGGAGAGACCCCTCCATAAAACATATTATTTATAAAAAATTATATGTTTATCTTTACAGGTTTAAATTTCAGTCACTTTCAGAGTACTCTCCCTCTGATGCTATACGCCTATTGAGACACCTTTTTCCACTGCTCAAAACAGTTTCCAAACTCATTAATTTTGACGTCTTTTAGTGCTTCTGCCATTTCTTATTTTACCTCTTCCATGTCAGCAAAATGTTTCCCTTTGAGAACTTTTTTCATCCAGGGAAACAACAACAAAAAATAGTCACTCAGGGTGAGATTGGGTAAATAGGGAGAGGGAGACACAGTGGCCATGACATTTTTGATCAAAAACTGGTGAACACTCAGCAGTGTAGGCAGATGCGCTTATAAATCACCCATCACGAAATGGGCAAATGCGTTGAAAGAACCTCCAAAACAAATGCACTGAAGCTGAACGCAGCCTCTTGCAACAATGCTAGATGGTACACTGATGCAGATGAGTTCCTAGGACGCTTACTTAGTGGGGAAAGCCTATAAGGAGTTTGTTCTCCAAAAAGATAATTCTGAGTTTTTTTTGGTCACCACTCATATGAACTAAAACTTCAAACTCAAAAGTGAAATGGTCACTAAGTACATGTAAAATAAAAGTTGACTGCATTCAAAAAGAAATTAAAGAAACAAAATAACAGAAATAAAAAAATTTTAAAAAAATAAATTGAAAGTTGACGAATGTGACTTAAAATATAGTAAGACAGGGAGAATAGAAATAGAAATAGCCAAAAGAAGAAAAAGCAAACAGAGAAAAAAAAGTAAATAATAGAAAAAATGATGTATATAGAAGTCATGCAAAGACAAGTATATAGGGTTCCCAAAAAATGTATATACATTTTAAGTATGTTGTTGGATCAAAAGATGGTGATAATCAATGAGCCATGTGACAAGCAGTGCAAAGAAAATGGCAGAAGTAGGTTAGGCGAACATTCTACTACAACATTGCTATCATAATTTAATTCAACTTCGAAAAGTCATACATAGATAACATCTCTTAAAATGTGTATACATTTTTGTTGCCAACCTCATATATATATGTGTATGTATCTGTGTATGAGTCTGTGCATGTACACATGTGTGTATGTGTAACATTAAAAATTATACATTTATACTTTTATTTGTGAAATTTGACTTTATGATACCAAAATATTTATTTTATTTTAATCTACAAATTTAGTAAGTCAACCAAAACTCTCAGAAATTTCCAGAGTTCCCTGTTAGTTTCAGTGAAGTCCCTAAAAAAGAAAAGCAGAACAATGGATATTTAAAATTATAAGATAGGAAAATCACTTGAAAAAATATGGATTTAGATAATGAAAGGAATTAACATGCACCTGGAAAAATAAATCAAGAATGGTTAAGACTCAGACATATTTCAATAAAACTGCTACATTTGAGAGACAAGTAAAAATCACCCTGTTCTTCTGTCAAAACATTATGTTTTTTTTACAAAAGAGAGATTGGTATAGTATTAGACTTCTTGAAAGCAATATATGAAACACGAATAGAGCTATATTGTTGAGAAACTCAAAGAAAAAACCATGAGCTTAGGATTTTATGTCCAGCAAATATGTAAGTAATATATTTTCTAGAAGGGTTTAACACAACTTTAAAAATGGGAGAAAAGGAAGAGAAAATAGAAAGTAGATTAGTTCACTAATTGTCACAAAGGCAACAGGATATCATTTAAAGCATAAAAACAAATAATAAAAATTCACGTAAGGAAAGAGGACTCAGATGTTTCCATAAAAGTAATTTCCACAACAAATAACCTTGTCAAACACAGAAAAATTTTTAAAAGACCACAACAGTGAAAAACAACAGTAAATGAAAAATAACACATAAATACAAGTTAAAATTATAAGATAGATTTGAAATACAACATAGTATTTCAATAAATATATGTTAGTTTATCTTATCTACTAAAAAATTTTTATGTAATACCCAAAACTATAAAACTACTAGAAGAAAATATAAGGGAAATGCTTCCCAATATTTTTCTGGGTAAGGGTTTGTATGTTTTTTTTTGTTTGTTTTTTTTTTGGATAAGATCTCAAAAGCACAAAAACAAACATGGATAAATAGAATTACATCAAACTAAAAAATGTTTGCATGCAAAAAGAAATAACCAACAGAGTAAAGAGACAACCCACAGAATGTGAGAAAAAATTTGCAAACTATGCATCTGACAAGGGATTAATATCTAGGCTGCATAAGGAATTCAAGCAATTCAATAACAACAACAGCATAACAAAATCTGATCTAAAAATGGGCAAGAGATCTGAATAAACACTTCTCAAAAGAAGACTTACAAATAACCAATGGCTATATGAAAAAATGCTCAACATCGCTAATCATCAGAGAAATGCAAATCAAAACCACAATGAGGTAATACCTCACCTCAGTTAGAATGGTTATTACCAAGAAGACAAAAGTATAAATGCTAGTTTGGATGCGGAGAAAGAGGTACACTTATACACTGTTGGTGGTAATGTAAATTAGGCCAGCCATTATGGAAAACAGTATAAGGATTCCTCAAAAAAAAAAACAAAAAAAAAAAACAGAACCACCATATGACTCAGAAATTCCATTATTGGATATCTATCCAAAGGAAATAAAATTTGTACACTGCAGAGACATCTGTACTTATATGTTTATTGAAGCATTATTCACAATAGCCAAAATATGGAATCAGCCTAAATGTCCATAAACATATGAATGGAAAAATAAAGTATGTTATATATACATAATAGAATATTACTCAGTATAAAAAATGAAATCCTGTCATTTGCAGCAACATAGATGTATCTGAAGGGCATTTATGGTAAGTGAAATAAGCCAAGCACAGAAAAGATAAATACTGCATGATCTCACTCTTATGTGAAATCTCAAGAAGTTGACCTCATACAAGGAGAGAATAGAATTGCAGTTACCAGATGTGGGGAGAGTAGGGAGGAGAAAGGGATAGAGAAAGATAGGTCAATGAGTATAAATTCTGGTGTTCTAGTGCACAATACATGGTTAATAGTGCACAGTGGTTAATACAATTGTATTGTACATTTCAAAATAGCTAGAAGTGACTTCTCACCACAAAGAACTGACAAAAGTATGAGGTCATGGATATGTTATGTACTCTGATTTGATTATTGTACAATGTATACATGTATCAAAAAATCAACTATGCCCCATAACATGTACAATTATGTGTCAATTTAAAAGATTTAAAAGATGAGCTGTGTACTGTTTTATTACAGTGAATTCATCTGTTCAAAAGCAATTTTCAGAGAGAATCATTAATACAAAACCAACCTTATTCTATAAATGAGACATTTTGTGATTCAAAAAGGCAAACAATAAATAAAATAAGAAAAAAAGTAACAGGTTAATGCAAATAAGAATGCAGGATGTGTGGTCTTGATATCAGGCAATATATATTTTAGGTTCTACACCATTAAATGAGACAAAAAGGACTTGTATAAGCTAAAAAACACAATTCACCATGAATTATAAATATCTATATATCAAATAACACAGCAGCCAGCACTATAAATAGAACTAACAGCAGAAACAGCAACATACTGAAAACAGGTAATTAACACATCCCCAACAGTCCAAGATGGATCAAAGTGGCAAAAAGATATAGAAGACAAAACCACAAAAGAGTAAGGTAGACCTTATCTTATACTTAAACTTTGTGATGATAATAGAGAACATTTCTTTTTACACTCACAGAATCTTCCCAATAATTTACTATGTGATAATTCAACATAACCATAATACTCTCAACAAATAAATGCAGCAAAAAACATTCTCTAACTATAATCCACTAAAGATAGCAATAATAAAATAAAATTTCTCTTCCAAAAAGATAATTTAAAAATTCTTTAAAAAATAAATTTATTTATTGAATAACTCTAAGTTCCAAGGAAAATACAAATCGAAATTGAAAAATTCCTAAACAATACTGATAACGAAAATACTATGCATTAAAATATATGGCCTATGATTAAAGCAGTAATCAGAGGAAAATGCATAGCCTTAAAATTTTATATCAGCAGAAATTAAAGCATGAAAATAAATGAATTAAATATCCAACTCAAAAAACTAGAAGAACATAAAAATCTTACAAATGGAAGGAAGGAAGCAATAGAGGTAAAACAAAAAATAATCAGAAAAGAAAAACAATGGAACTCATAAATAAATTCTTACTGTTTGAAAGACAACAAAATGAAAAATAGCAAGGTAGAAATAATCATTAAAACAGAAGAAATATAATAATGATAAGACATTACTTTTCAAACTATGTAGATGGAATGGATAATTTCCTAGGAAAATACAATTTAGCAAAATTAACTCAAGGGGCAATAGAAAGTTTAAATAGATCAATTTCCACATAAGAAACAGAAAATGATCAAATAATTATCCCACAGAAAAGCAACAGACCCAGATGTTTTCACAGGAAAATATTACCAAGCCTTCAAATGCCAATTCCAGTGCTGCTTAAACACTTTCAGAGCACTGAAGATGTTTGCATTCTTTATAAAGTATTCCATGAACATCTAAATCTGGCAAAACTTTCACACAAAAAATGAAAAAATACAGGTCAATCTCACTTTTAAGTCTCAATACAAAAAATTCCCAATGACATATAAGCAAAGAGAATCAAAAAGTATATTTTAAATGAATCATTACTGAGTGGCATTTGTATAGGAAAAGAAGGATAGCTCAATATATGAAATATCACAACATGACTTTTCATAGAAATGTATCTATGTACATATAGATGAGTGAAACAGGATCCCTACCTATCACCATAAACAAAAATCAACTCTAAATGGAACAAAGACATACATGCCTAAATGTAAAACCTCAAGCTATAAGAATCTCAGAAGAAAATGTAGGAAACACCCTTTCACACATTGGAGTAGGTAACCAAGTCTTGATCAAATCCCAAAAGTGTATGCCATAAAAGATAAGATAGACAAGTGAGACCTCATCAAACTGAAAAGCTTTTGCACAGCAAAATAAACCATCAAGAAAGCAGGGAGACAACCCACAGATGGGAAAAAAATATTTGCTAATTCTGTATCTGACAAAAGCCTAATATACAAGATCTACAAGGAACTCAAACAAGCCAAAAGAAAACAAAAAACAAAAAAAGCCACCCCTATTAAAAAATGGGCAGACATAAATAGACACTTCTCAAAAGAAGACATACAAGCAGCCCACAGATACATGAAAAAAATACTCAGCCTCACTAATCATCCGAGAAATGCAAATAAAAAACACACTGAGATACCACCTTATCCCAATAAAAATGATCACCACTAATAATAAAAAAACATTAGATGCTGACTTGGGTGCAAAGAAAAGGGGACACTTTTTTGGAGTGTAAACTAGTCTAACCACTATGGAAAATATCTAAAGGAACTAGAAATCGACCTTCCATAACATCTAGCAACCCCCCTCCTGAGAATATACCCAAAGGAATACAAATCATTCTACAAAAAAGATACTTGCACATGCATGTTTATTGTTGTACTATTCACAATAGCAAAAATATGAAACCAGCACTACTGCCCATCAAAAGTAGACTGGATAAAGAAAATGTGTTACATATACACAATGGAGTATTATGCAGCCACAAAGAAGGACAAAATCATAGACTCAGCAAATTGGACTTGGAGACCATCATTCTTAGCAATCTATCACAGAAGCAAAGAATCAAATATCACATGTTCTCACTCATAAGTGGGACCTGAACATTAATCACAACAGCCCAAGGGAGGGAACAACTGCTGTGGGACACTGACATGGTAGGGAGGGAGGCAGCACACGTAACGACACAAAGGGTATCTGGTCCTACACCAGGGGAAATGAAGGCCAGTTGGAGACCCAAACTTCACCTACACATGCATTACTTATGTACCCAATCCTGACATGTACCCCACATCTTTATAATAAATTAAGGTTAAAAGAGTGTATACATACATATATATATATATATATGGAAAAATAGATCGTTATTTATATCAACTCTAAAAAGGACTTCAGCAAAATTCAATACCATTTATGATTAAGAAAGAGAAAAAGAGGAGGATGAGGAAGAAGACAGTGAGAGCAAATACGACAAAGTGAATTGTTGAATCTAGATAGATGTAGGTACTCATTGCAATTTTTCTGCATTTTCTGTTTCTTGTTTTCTGTTTTTCTCTTTATAAATTTTGAAAAATTACATTAAATTGGGAGAAGAAAATGTATACATTCACTTTCAGTTTTAAATATTTACCTTTATCTTTACGTGTCGCATGAGGTTTAATCAAGGCTAAAGTGCTTTGAAGAGGAAAGAAATACCGTATTTCCTCTTCAGCAGTTTCTAATGAATCACTTCCATACAACTGGCTGACAGGCAAACTTTCCATCGCAAACTGTGCACATAAACTTTGAAAAAGAAGTCAAGTTCAAAAGCTATTATAATATAACAGCATAACATGGCACTATATATGTTGCTCAAAGGTTATCAAGTAGCCACTCATTTCAGACCTAGGCACTGTACAAAAGGAAGTAATTAGAGAGCGACTTAGAGTGTGCAGCTTCCTTCCCAGGAGGTAACCATCATTGGGAAGAAAAGATGTGATCATTTAAATCATCATAACAATGGATATAGAGGAATGGATGCCCTGTGCAGCAAAAAAAAAAAAAAAAAAAGTTCAGAAGGTGAAATCTTGATTGCATTACTTGCTAGCTGTGTGATATTAGGGAATTACTTTACTTCTCTGAACTTTAGTTGTCTCAAATATAAGTATGATAATAAAATCTCTTTTAGGTTATTTTAGAAGAATACAATACAATCAGATGATGTGTTTGAAATATATGGTGCATACTGAGCTTTCAATAAATATTTCTTCCACTGTTTTCACCATTAAATATTGTCAAACATTAGATGTCATTTGACTCTATACTAAAGATACCAAATCATAAACATTGAATCCAGAAGATACCTTAATGGAAGCCTCCAGGAGAGCAAGTGCAGTGATAAAAGAAGAGCCACAGGGTGGCTTTGTGGAAAGAGGTAGCGGGGCTGATGATCTACGTTCGATTAAACAGTGGATTATGCTTCGGCTTCCTTTCCTATAGATGAGTACGTATCTCTTAAATCAGTTAGTGTTCCTTGGTATTTTTTTCAGTTGTCCTTTGTACCTATCTATACATATTTCAGTAAAAAAGATGCTCACTGCTCATTTCATTTTTTGCCCTTTAAACAATCCTGAGCAGTCAACCCAACAAAATCTAGTCGTGGTGAATAATGTCCCTTTCTGATAATAGTCATATGAATCCTTCACATCACTGGAAACTTAGCTTTCTGTCTTCAGCTTCAAGATTCTCTGCTTGTCTCTCTGGTTTCAGTGACCCATTCAGATTTATTTATTTCCTCCCTCCCTCTCTCCCTCCCTCCCTTCCTCCCTCTCTCCCTCTTTTCTTGATTTCTTGCTTTATTCAGCTTGACCCCCCAATCAGCCCTGGGCTATATATTCTCACACATCTAATTCGGAGACATTTCCAGTTCTCTTCCTTGGAGCCTGTGATTTCCAGGGCTGAGGAATTTGCATAATGAATGGGTGAAACAGTCTAATCCATTGTGAGCATTTACTCTATTCAGTGCAGAGCACTCAACCAGTTCCTCTATTCTGCTGTTAAACATAATTATTGGAAAAAGTGGAGAGAAGAAGGTCGGGGCAGAGGGCATAAGGGCTAAGAATGTTTTTCTTTAGTGCAAGTGATCATATTTCAGATAAAGCAATGCAGAGCATAGAATCTGATGTCCAAGCGCGGGAAAGGGCAGAGTTCTGTTGAAAGGGTTATTTCTAAAGCAACCTGTAAGGGTTGACTGGAGCCAAGAAAAGTGGAAAAGGGAGGACCAACAAAAATAATGGTTAAGATTAGTTGCAAACTTGTGGGAATTTTCACAATGATAGTGGAGTGAAGAAGGAGCAGACACTAAGAGCCTCCACCTGGTGAAAATGTTTCTTCTGTACAGGTATACAACCTTTACACTTGAAGCCACAATGATTAGACAAGTATGCTTACAGGTATAGACCTTGTATTTATAGCAATACATTGCATTCTACACCGTACTTTACTAAAAGGTCCCATGACACTCTGCTCACACCACTTGCAGGGTCTACCCTTATTATCTTTCACAGTCCTTGTCTGGAGCATGAGCAAAGACATAAGCAAGTAGGTTTAGTTAAGGGGTAAAAAGTGTCCAAGCAGATTCAAGTATATTCTACTGAAAAGAAAGTACTTCTTTTTATGTGCAACTTCATGAGCACTGTTGTTTATTGTGTCAACATATAAGTCAGGTTTGCTGTGTCTTACAAGGTATCTCTATTCCTGCACACTTGAAGGTTAGGGGGTGGGGAAGATTTCTTCCTCTGAATTAAATCCTATCCTGAAATCAGCACCAAGAATTCAAGGGAATTGAAATTCAGTTTGTTTCTATTAGCCATAAGCTAATAGATATAAAGTACAAAGATGCATAAGATACATTTCTATCCTCCAGATAATACTAGGCCCATCGGGGAAGCTCAAAATATACTGAAAGAGTGCCCCTATGTGCCAGATAATATGCTAGGGGATGAGTTTATCACAAAGTTTAGCTGATTTCTAAGATTCATCAGTAAACTAACTCAGTAAATGTTCCCACTAAATTGTAGAGTACATATTCATTAGTCATCATTGTCTTGAAACTCTTATGATCAACTAAAGAACTTGAAGCTGCCACCTCAGCCCTTTTCAAAGGAATTTCTCTTAAATAGTAGGTGGGGTGGATATTTTTCCCAAGATATAAGCTGTTGGCTGGGGTATCCATCTCTTAGTTCCTAGTCCCACATCAAGTATCTCACCACCTTCTCTTGAAAGACCTTGGGCCATCTTCAGGCTGGCACTAGGCTGGACCTCCAGTTATGAGCAGTCAACTCTTCCCCAGGAAAGGTAGCTTTCCTGGGAAGTTTTCTTGAACTAGAACTGTGGTTCCTGTACTCTACACCTAAAAAGAAATTAAAAATGGATCCCATGAAAAAAGTTATAGAACCATGATATGAATCCTACCTTTCTGGCAAATATGTTTTGGCTTCTTCAACAATTCTTGGTCCCAGCAAATCTTTCCAGTATTGCAAGCCATTGTCTCTCAGTAAAACAAGGACTAGAGATGGACCACTGTTAGAAAAAAAAAAGGTAAATACAGTAGATAATTACAATAGGCAATATAAATGCATGTTATTAAACAGACTAAAAACATTTCACAATATTTTTTTATGTGCTACATTTATAAAAGAATAGAAGCAGAAAAGCAAAGGGAAGAGAGGGGACTTAGCAGGTGGTTCCTTCATTGTTCCCCATGCTCTTGCTGGTGTACTGGGTGGGTAACCATAAAACCAGAATTATCTTTTGGAGGGTGGGCCGTGAAAGGACAGAACGAGAGCCAAAAGCTATTTTTTTATCTTGTTCTTAAACCCTGACACAATGATGAGAAAGCAGAAGCTATGCTTTTGGAGAAATGGGCACTTTAGGTAAAATTAACTTTGCTGACTTTGTCTTTTCAGAAACAGACTTCGCACTGCCAGATGTCAGAGGTATCTCATAGCAGCAATCAAGCTTGCCTACAGTAAAGGGAATTTACAAGGCCTAAGACCTCATGCATTGGGCAAGGATTGTAAAAGTCATGAAACTTGTAATTACAAAAGTTATGACCACTCAGAAGGAGAGCAGGTGGGGATTCGATCTTCCAGTAAATTGGGCACTATCTACAGGGAAGTCAAGTATCCCCTGAAGCTACCCACTGGGGATGCATAGGAGATAAGGGGAGGTGCACCCTTAGCTCTAAGGAATGTCGTTCAGGAAGGTGCAGGAGAATTAGAATCCTTGTTATGCCCTTCTCTAGGGGCTATGATAATGTGGGCGGACATTAGTGGGTCTCTGTGTCACAAGTTCTCCAAGACATCTGCAGGTGATCAATTAGGAAGTCACGTCTACCTGATTACAACATCTCCAAGGAAAAAGATTTAAGCCAGGGCTTTGGGGGGCTATAGCACCACACTCACCTAGAGTGTAGGCCTGCTCCCTGTCTGTGGGGGTTGAACTTTCCTTAAATAAATCTTATCTTCTCTCACCTCTCTGTGTGTTGCAATTCTTTGCATTTACTCGAATGCAAATTATAGGAGAAACGTAGCAGATTTCTGGCAATTCATTCTCTTCTAGAACTAGTAATCTATAGGATTATCAACACCTTTGAAAGTCCATCAGTTCTTTGCTTAAACTTGATAATGTTTAAGCAACTTCCCCTGACACCTTCCCATTGCTTCAATAATGTTCCAGAAAGATGAGAGAAGACAGTCAGTTGAGTAGAGAAGCAAGACAGGAACAGAACTGACAAAGTAGACTCAGAACATGCTTACAGAATTGAGAGGTTTGATAACTAATATAGAAAGCAGACTTCAGAAAATGTTTAAATATTTCAACAATAACTCTACCTGGTCATGTTTTCTATAAGTTTCTCAAAATAGTCTTCATTTTCATATTCCTTGCACAGTGTACATGCTTCCTCTTTTGATAATACTATTTGCCTTTGCTCCAGTATTTTAAAGCCTTCATTTTCAATAATCTTCAAAACATCCTCTAAATGAAAATAGTACCATCATAAGTTCTAAACTTGTAGGTTACTGGTTATATACACAATATATAATAAGCTATAATGAGGGCATATAATGTATTTCATTCTCATGTACAAGTTAAAATTTACAAAAATAGCTTCTGAGGTTTTAATTTAAAGTGAACAATAACTCAACATAACAAACTATGATGCTATTTCCAAGTTTTCTTCAGGTAGAAAGCATTTACATAAATACATACACATACACACATATGCACAAGTATCTCGGTGATATTTTTCTTGAGTGTATGGGTGGAGGTGTGTGTGTGTGTGTATGTGTGTGTGTGTGCGTGTGTGTGTGCACGTGTGTGTGCAGATAGTAACCTAAATAACCAACCAATAGAATTATGCAAGTCATTATAAATAACTTTTATATCCAATAGTCCTTATTTGTCCCACTTGGGGAGAAACACATTAATTGGATACCTGAAAGTAATTATCAGTAATCTTCTCTCTCACACTATAGAAGTCCAGAAAATCTAATACTCACCTCTCTATTCTTGTTTATGGATATTATGGCTACCTGATCCATATATGATCAATGATATATAAAGGAAATATACTGGGGTTGCTTCCAAGAGAGGGATCCAGGGAGAACCTCTCTGCCCTACGCTACACTCTCCTAGGCTTCCTGCTTTTTAACACTTGAGGAACAGGGTGTTTGGAGCTGTGGAGTCCAACTCATAGCAAAGAAGAATAAGCCAAAAGCACAAATGTTGACTCAACCCAGACAGCTTTAAGTCCCCGAGGAAAGCCAAAAAACTCAACTTGGCTGATATATTACTTCTCCTCTGCTAGAAAGGAAATAAATAAAGTTAATATGCTAAAACTAAGCAAGCAATGAAAGGAAATAGTGGAACAAACAAGGTGTCATGAATATTAATACATTTGCTTCAGAATAACCTTACAGACAATAAAAAGAGAAATCAGAATATTTATATAGTTCCTAAAATTAAAAGACAGAATCATATTAATGTTTAGAAGACACTGAAGTTTTCTTTAGTCATTAAATTTTTTTTAAAGTTTCTCAAATGAAGGTACTCGATGACAAGAGTTTAACAAACAATAACTAATCCTCAAGCAATTGTTGTATAATAGCTTCTTGTAGTGACTCATGATGAAAGCTGAAGATAACTATTTAAAGAAAGTAAATCTGCATAAAGCTAAAGAAACTAGACAATGGGAGAGTAGATGGATTGACCGGCCTTGAGAATCCTTGAGAATGCGTGCCCTAATTTGTAATCATTCAGATAATCACAAAATAGCTATAAACCAGGCATACAGAGGGTCCTTATTATCCAACTGTTACACTGAAAAAACATTAGAGAGTACATTATTTGTAAGATGGTATTGAGTTTCCTTGACCCACCACTAGAGCATTAAGTTTCATTTTAAATTCCATGATGGGGGGTTCTGGTAAGACGGGGACGGCATAGGTGGACTTGTGAGATTATCCAAACGTGAGTTCCAAAAAGACTCTTACTTTTCTTCCCCCACACCCCCTGACCCACCGCCAGACCTATCAGTAGAAACACTACAAGCAACAAGGGACTGGAGTCCAATATTTAAAGTCATCAAAGATAAACAATTTCAACCAAGAATTTCTTACCCAGTCAAGTTCAGTTTCATCAGTGATCAAGAACCAAAATAATTCCTGTAAGAGATTGTGCAACTTCCATACCACCTCTACAAGAGATGCTTAAAAAGATATCAAGCACAGAAGAAAGAAAAAAAAGAATGATCACACACTTCCCAAGAGAACAGCAGAGCACAGAATCAACAGAAAATTCATTGCAACAGCAAACTTGACAAAACACACATACATCAACTCCCAAACTAAAAGAAAACAAGCAAACAAAGAAAAAAACTTTATAAGACCCTCATGATGAGGATAAACAACCACATTTCAATAATCACCTAAAATGTAAATGGACTAAATGCACCACTGAAAAGACACAGAATGGCAAACTGGATAAGAAACTATGACCCAATTATTTGCTGCATCCAGGAAACTCATCTCACCACAAGTGATGCACTCAGATTCAAAGTTAGAGGATGGAAAATGAGTTTCCAGGCAAATGGATCACAAAAGAAGGCAGGAGTCGTGATCTTAATATCAACAAAACAGCCTTTACTCTTATAGCCAAACTGTGAGAAAGGAAAGTTGCCAGTACACCGGGTTCAAATTTTGATTCCTTTAATAGCATGCGGTCAACAGTAGGCTCACACCAAGAAAGATCTTGACGCTGAATAGAATCAGAAAGAAGCTTATAAAGGCAAAATCCACAAGTGGGCTACATAGCAGAGGGTGAGGGTACAAGGAACTAAAACCAAAAGGAACAATCACTTGAATTTCAGTTAATAAGGCATACAATTACATGGAACTTGTGGCTAGGGAGTTTTCAAATGGTCAGCAAGAATGGTTAGCACGAACAGCTCAGGGGAACAAGGCTGTGGGACTGTGGTCATGGGAATGTCACAACAATCAAAAGTACACACTGAGGGGGTTATTTTTAGGTCAGGCAGACAGCTAACATGGAGGATTTTAACAAAATGGAGTTGCTTATGTCAAGCAAGTTATTATAACCATTTTAGATATTTCATTTCTTATTTTATTCCCCTCTTTTAGTTGTACGTGAGTCAATTCGTTGACTTATCAGTTATGGGTATGGAATTACAATAAGTTTTTACATGTGTAAATTTTACAGAACTGATTTGTTGTTTTACAAAGTTAATAATCCAGTTTAATATACAAGATTTTATAAGTAAACTGAGGAAGAAGAGGATAAGTGGGAACCAGAGATTTCAGTTATTTAGGGTCCCTGGCCACCATAGCACAGTTGATGGAGCGAGCTGGTAAAATTATGTTAGTTTTCATGGCTCTCTTGACTTGTATGTGGTAAATTCAGGCCAATATCCCATCAACTTTGAGTGCTGTTGGAGTGGTGATGACAAGAAAGGGTCCCTTCCAGGCAGGAGTTAGTACAAGGTGTGGAAGATGGAGTGGGCAAAACAGCACAAATGCCGGAGTGGACAGCAACCTGAACCTACTGGAGGGACTGAAGATACTTTAACAGAGATTGATGAGTAATTTTTTAAGGATGGGATTCTGCAATCACAGGTTTGAAGAACTAAAGGTAAAAGGTTTACCCATTTTTCACCAGTCTCTATTATTATTTTGGTTAGGGTAGATTTTAAAGTCTGGTTCATGTGTTTTACCTCCAGAGCTTTGTGATTGGTAAACACAATGTAATTTCCGGTCAATGTTTAATGTTTAACTAACCAGCTATACAATGGACGAGGTAAAGGCAGGACTATTACTAGAGTCAATAGAGAGGGGAAGTTTAAACCTAGGAATAATTTTATTTAACAAAACCCTGTAACCGTAGTGCGGTTTTATTTCTTGTGGCAAAAGTTTCTGTCCAACTTGAAAAGGTGTCTATAAAAACCAGCAGATATTGATAACCAACATGAGGGGGGTTTTCCCTCAGTAAAGTACACTTTCCATGTTTTTCTGGGGCTTAGTCCCTGGGCCCTGATACCATTTGATGGCCTTGGTCCTTGTTTGGCATATATTGCAAATAAACTGGACACAGTGCAGTGACTGTGGCAGTGAGGCTTCTTAAGTCTTGAATGTAGTAATACTGGTTCAGTATCTCATCTCTGGAGTGTCTGATTTCTGGGGTTATCTGCAATGTATGACAGCTATTTCTTTGGGGAGCCATATAGCCTCTAGAAGGGCTAAAATTTTCTTTTGACATCTAGAGGCCAGAGGCTCCCAGAGCAGTGTCTTTACAGTGTGGGGAATTGTTAAGGCCAAGTTTTGGCCAAAAGTTAGCTTGTCTGCCTCCTTAACCAGTATAGCAGTAGTGGTGATGGTTTGAAGACAGAATGGCCAGCCAGAAGTCACTGGATCCAGCCTTTTTGACAAGTAAGTCATAGGTTGCCTCTAGGGTCCTAAGGTCTGGGTAAGAACCCCCTTCACAATCCCCTGCTGCTTATGAACAAACAAATAAAAAGTCTTGGTAACATTTGGGAGGACTAAAGCTGGGGCTTGGGTAAGAGTCATTTTTAACTGCTAGAACACTTGATCCTCAGAAGCAGTCCATTTCAGGGGTTAATGCCCTACAGTGGCTGTGTACAGAGGCTTGGTAATTTCAGAAAATTCTGGGATTCACAGGTGACAATACCCTACCACCCCCAGGAATTCCTGTACCTATTTCTCTGTGGTTGGTATAGGAATTTGAATGGCTTCTTTCTGGGCTGAGGTCAGGGCTCGCTTACCCTTTTCTAGTTGGTAGCCCAGGTAGGAAATTTAAGTTGAGAAAAGTTATGCCTTTTTTACTGATACACTGTAGCTCGTCTTGGAGGAGCTGTAAGAGTCTTAATACCTTTTAAATAAGTGTCTACGTCTGCAGCCACAAGTGAGAGATTATTTGCATTCTGGAGTAAAGTACATTCAGGGTGTAAGGCATGGGACACTGACAAATCCTGTTGCCAAGTTTCCTTTAAAAAGGTTGAGAGTTCTTGAAATCCTATGGTAACCAGGTTCAAGTTAGCTGGCTGGTGTCCCCAAGTCAAGATCTGTTCATTCAAAAGCAAAAATAGGATGGCATGGCAGGAGGATTACCAGTAGAGGACAGGACCAGAACTGACCTTGAGTCCTCTGTCTTTGGGCAGCGAGGGCAATTTTTTTTTTTTTTTTACCCAGTGACCCAGCTCTTTACAATATGCACATTGTTTCTTGTCTAGCTGGATACGTATAATTTTCTTTTGTCCTTTTTTAGGTTTCTCTGTCTTACATGCTGGCCTTGAGCCAGGTTGGGAGGCCTGGATGGTAACAACTAATATTTTTGTTTGCCATTTTTTTTCTTTGTCCATTTTCTTATTTTCCAGTTTCTGTTTATCAGCATTTCTGTTATTAAAAACCTTCTGAGCTACCTCAAGCAGCTGAGAAATGTTTATT